GGGTCAGTATAGACTAATATCATAGAAATGTATATTATAGTAAAAATATGTCATAAAATATAAATTTTAAAATGAAATTGACTTGCCTATTTGATGCTGTGTGTTCTCCTTGTATTCCTCCTTTGTTGGACTAATATTTTCCAAGACTTTGTACTCGATGTTACTAGTATACATGAAACATGATAAAGGCTAACTATTTTCGATCATCGATACGACGGCACGGCACTTCAAATCGAAAATTCTCACACTCAAATTGCTTTATTCTCCAGAAAAATTCGCCAGCATGCACAACAGATGCCGTTCTTCGAAAATACGGAGATACTTCGGCGAGATGTACAAGTTTTGGACCATATTTTAACAATGGAAATCAAAACCCATTTTATATTGAACTTGCCCAGGCCGAAAATTACTACGGCAAACGTCTGCGCAACCAGGCCTCCTTTACCATTGGATTTACAGGGGGGAGGTTGCCACTAATATATTAACGATCATATTTCGAATTAAAGTATCATATTCTACCATGCTTTCCAACAAAGAGCCGCTGTATATTTCTTCCTTAAATTCCTACAACCTCCGTCGTTTAGTTTTCTTTTCTTTGACAATATCTCGAGTTTTATACACTTATCCGATCGAAGGAGTTTTTATCTTGAATATTAAATTTCAAATAATGTAAACAGTAGCTATCATGGTTGCGATTGGCTGGCTGTTACCGGAAACATCTGCTTCCCCCCTGTAAATCCAACGGTAAAGGAGGCCTGGTTGCGCAGACGTTTGCCGTACTAATTTTCGGCCTGGGCAAGTTCAATATAAAATGGGTTTTGATTTCCATTGTTAAAATATGGTCCAAAACTTGTACATCTCGCCGAAGTACCTCCGCATTTTTGAAGAACGGCATCTGTTGTGCATGCTGGCGAATTTTTTTGGAGAATAAAGCGATTTGAGTGTGAGAATTTTCGATTCGAAGTGCCATGCCGTCGCATTGACTATAGGGAATAGTTAGCCTTTATCATGTTTCATGTATACTAGTAACATCAAGTACAAAGTTTCGGAAAATATTAGTCCAACAAAGGAGGAATACAAGGAGAACACACACCATCAAACAGGCAAGTCAATTTCATTTTAAAATTTATATTTTATGACATATTTTTACTATAATATACATTTTTATGATATTAGTCTTTATAATATAGAATTCGTAAATTCTGAACGCTGATTGGCTAACAGCCGTGTTGACATAACTCGATGTCAACACGGGAAATTTTCCGCCGCTTGTAAACACGGAAATTTTTCTTATCCTTCGGGCTTTTGACATTGCTATATTATAAAAAAAATATAAAACATTTTTTTCCGTATTGATATATAGTTATATCAACACTCGTGGAAGTTGGGAAAACTCGAAATTGTATGAAAACACTCCGCCCTTCGGGCGTCGTGTTTCCATACAATTTCTCGTTTTCCTAATTCCACTCGTGTTGATATAACTGTATATCAACACGGAAAATGTTTTATATTTGTTAAATACTGACCCTTGCGAGATTGGGCCGCCTGTGGTCTATGTTTCAATAGTCTATGTGGCTTGTGAGATAGAGTAAAGTTGAGTGATTAAAATTTGCAAACTAACCTACATTGGTTTGTTAATTTATAATTAAGAATTGTGGTAATAACATGGTTTTCATTGTTTTGACTGTTTTCATAATTAACCCATTGAGTGGCAGCACTGTCCACTTGACAAGTAAAATCGTCTGGCGTTAAACAAGCATAAAATACTAAATTAGGATGCATCAGGGTGCATTGCCACTTAAAGGGTTAAGGAATGTTGTATTGACTCACTTCTTATTGTCTCAAGCATTTATTATCTAATTTCTTATTTACTGATTCAAAATTTAGATCTTTACACCAGGGTTTCCAAACTCATGCATGTGACAAAATGCTTGTGTTTGATTGGTCTATTTGCTTATGAATTATTAATGAGTTTGAGAAATATTTTAGCCTGCATTCATACTTTTATATATGCATGTAGTTTGTAGTATTATTATTTCTCACACACCACCCTACTAATAAAACCATTACTACTAGAAGTTACTATCGCAAGAAGTGCTGCCTTACGACCCTTAAATTGCCTTTAGTTAACACACACTGTATGTTTGAATTTATTTTGTTTAAAAAATATCGAAATTACAACAAGCAACAATTACTATAACATTGCCCATTCGTGTGACAAAGTTTAATGTTTTTTACCAAGAAAGTTCAATGTTTGTCAAGCTTGATCACTTGACAGGTTTTATATAATTAATCTTAACAGCCAATCACATTCAACCATGCAGCTCCAAGCTAAGTGGCAGCTGAGCAATTGAAACCATCAAATGTCATCCCAAAACAAGTAGTCATGCAGTAGATACATACAGAGCTGTAACTGGTCGTCGTAACCACTGTGGAATTTTTAATCATGTTTTATTTCATGGAACTTTTCTTCACATGTGGGTATATTGTAGCTCTTTATAAATCAGGTTGCCGTTCTGATCCTGGAAACTACAGGGGAATATTTATCAGCAGTTGTTTAGGGAAATTTTTTACCTCAATCCTTAATTATCGTCTTAATACTTTCTTGGAAGAACATGAAATCTTGAATAAGAATCAAATTGGTTTTAGGTATGGATTTAGAACGTCCGATCATATACTTGTGCTAAAAACGTTAATAGATTCCTATAAGTTACATAAGAAACCATTATTCGCTTGTTTTATAGACTTTCGTAAGGCATACGATAGTGTATGGTGAGAGGGGTTTTTTTTCAAGCTCATCCAATATGGTTGTAGTAAGAATTTTGTACGCATACTACGAAGTATGTACTCCTCAGTTAAATATAAAGTCAAACTTCCTTCGGGAAGTACTCCAGTATTTTCGTCAAACATCGGTTTAAAACAGGGTTGCAACATGAGTCCATCTTTATTTAATGTCTTTATCAATGATATACCTGAACTACTAAATACTTCAAATTGTGATCCGGTGCATCTAGGTACTATTACAGCAATTTTCGTCCAAGCACAAACCGCAAACATTTTCGCGCGTTTGAAACGGGGCGTTTACCGTTGGAAACTGAAATGTTTCACCGCTCATGTGACGTGTCACATTGAAAAGCCTTAAGCTATTTTTGGCGCAACTGTCATGTTTTGACGTGCTTCCGTGCACGTTTCAATATTTCCAAGCCCATGATAATACGTTTTAGTCACAAAAAGTATGAATATAAACAAGTTTGGTCGCTCTTACAATATCGTGAGCTTGGAAATACTGAAAAGTACACGAAAGCACATCAAAACATGAAAAATAACTGAATTAGGCTTTTCACTATAACTCGTCACATGAGCAGTGAAACATTCCGTTTCCAACGGTAAACGCCACGTTTCAAACGTAAACAAACGCGCGAAAATGTTTGCGGTTTGTGCTTGGACGAAAATTGCTGTAAAGTAAATTGTTTACTTTATGCTGATGATTTGGTTTTGTTATCTATTCTCGGTTAGGTTTACAGGAGAGTCTTGCGAAACTGCAAAGTTATGTAGAAAGATGGAAGTTAGAGATCAATTTTAAAAAATCTAAGGTTCTAATTTTTGGTAGTAAATCCCAAAGAAGCTTATATATTACTTCCAAGTGGTGTCTTGGTGGAAAATTGTTACAATGTGTTGATGAGTATGTCTACCTAGGAATTACTTTCCATTATTCTGGTCGTTTTAAAGTAGCTCAAAAGATGTTGTATAGTAAGGCACTGGGGGCATACCACAGTATATTTAAAAACTTTTCAAATTTGGATAGTGTCCCAGTTAAAGTACTTCTAAAACTTTTCTCGGCTCTGGTTTCTCCGATATTGTTGTACTGCTCTGAAGTATGGGGAGTCCATTTACTAGGAAGTTTAACAAATATTGAAATGTTTAAGAAAAAGTTGTTTAGTATGATTTCGGATATTGAAAAGTTGCATATAAAGTTTTGTAAACGTATTCTGGGAGTCCATTCCAAATCTACCAGTAATTGCTGAATTAGGAAGATACCCAATGATTATCCAGATTTCCACCTTAGCCATCAAGTATTGGTTAAGAATTAATAGTCCAATGTATGAAAACCAGTTTGTGGGTAAAGCAGCACGTGTATGCATTCAATCATGTTGTCCGATCGCAAAATTCAATGATTTTTTGTTAGAGATGTGTAACTTTAATCCCCTAAAAAATACTACAATTTGGAAGGAAAGTGATAATAATGTAGTCAAAAGTATCAAAAACGAGTTATGTGAAAGATTTAATATCATGTCGAAAGTTCAGATTCAACAACTCAGTAAATTGCAAGTTTTCAAACTTGTAAAACCTAGTATAGAATTTGAAAGCTATTTATCTCAAGTTAAAATTGTGAAACATCGTCAAGCAGTGACTAGGTTTAGGATATCCGCTCATAAGTTACCAATTGAAACTGGACGATATGCGAATATTGAACATGATTCACGTCTATGTCCAATTTGTAACTCAAATGAGATTGGGGACGAATATCACTACTTTTCACATTGTAGTAACATTGAGTTAGTTGATTATAATTGCAAATTCAGCTCGTTGGGTACAAATAATTTATTTTTATACTGTGTGTCAATGAATGACAAAAATATTATTAATTCTACGGCCAAGTACATATATGAAATAATGAATATTTTTTGGGATCTTGTCTCCATCTAGCTCTTCTTTGACTTAATTGTCCTTGTTTAAATTTTGTTATTGTTGTAATATTATTATTACTCTGTTCTATTATATTATTTTTATATAATTTATAACAGACATTTGCTGTATTCTATATATACCAGTATTGGTATTTTTTGTTTGAATAAAGTTATTATTATTATAGATGAGTATCACTACGTATCAACATTACCATGTACTTCAATGTCAGGTTTTGTTGAGATATATTCTGAACAGTCTCAACCCAGAGCTCTCAGCCTAAGCAAACAAGAACACAGTATATGAACAAACTCATGAAACAAAAACAAGCTAATGAGACACAGAGCCCTGAGGCTAAGGAAAAGAGAAGAGTTTATGCAAAGGAATATAGGAAACGTAAACAGGCCAGTGAGAGTTCCCAGCCCTCGACACTGGGCATTGAGGCTAAGCAAAAGAAAAGACTGTATGCAAAGGAATATAGGAAACGTAAACAGGTCATTGAGAGTTCCAAGCCCTCAACACTGAGCACTGAGGCTAAGCAAAAGAAAAGACTGTATGCAAAGGAATATAGGAAATGTAAACAGGTCAGCAAGAGTTCCCAACCCTTAACACTGAGCATTGAGGCTAAGCAAAAGAAAAGACTGCACGCAAAGCATTATAGGAAACAAAAACGTTGTGAGATTGAATTCACTACGAAGTTTAATATCCCAATTTCATGATGTTGTCTCACAAGGTCCTCTTTATATTTGCACTTGTTGTGACCAATTATGGTATAAGCATAGTGTTACTCCAGTCACAACACTTAAAGAAATAATCCTGATGTTCAAAAAAGATTGTTAAATACGTTAATAATGTGGAGTGGTTGTGTAAAACCTGTAATAAGTATTTAAAAAACAATAAGGTGCCTCCTTGTGCTGCTATAAATGGGCTGCAGTTTCCACCTTTGTTTTTCGATCAAAATGAATTAGAGTGTAGATTGCTTGCTCCAAGACTTGCATTTCAAAAATTAATGCAAGCTCCTAGAGGTAGACAACTAAAAATCAATGGAAACATTGTTATAATGTTCCAGCAGATGTTGTTAATACTGTTAACATGTTGCCAAGGTTTCCAAATGAGACCAGCACAATTAAAGTTAACCTTAAGAGAAGATTGCAATACAAAAGTTCAGCTTTATCACTAAATGTCAGACCAAATAAAGTAGCAGAAGCTGCCAAATGGCTTGTAAATAATGGTAACCTTTATAAAGATTAAGGTATAACTTTCAATGACACTTGGCTTCAAGATAATTCAAATACTCAAATGCTATTTGATGATAGTGACAATGATCAAACCTCAGAGGGTTTAAAAAATGTTGTGGACTGTAATGTAGAAAGCTTGAATTGTGATACAGAATGTAAAACGCAGCAATCATTAGCATGTGATGATGATGAACACTGGAGTGAAGATGAGGCAGAAATAACTGCTGGAATCACTGACACTATGTTAACATCTCCAGATTTTGTCACTGATAATGAATGTCAGCATACCCTTACAAAACCAAATTATATGGGACATATATGGACCAACTATGGGATTGATATGGTTCAACCTATGGGCCATATATGGGAAGTATATGGCTTTGGTGTGGCCTGGTTGCCTTCATAGCATACCCATATCATGTTTTTGATATGGGTTTGATACGTATTTGGTACAAATCCATACATATCCCATACGACTTACTATGGGAAATACATGGGTTCCTTATACCATTTCATAACAACTTTGCTATGGGTAAGATAGGATTCTATATGGGAATGATCTGGGAACGTGATATGGAATTCATATGGTTCTTGATGTATACACTATGGGATTGATATGGTTCAACCTATGGGCCATATATGGGAGGTATATGGCTTTGGTATGGCCTGGTTGCCTTCATAGCATACCCATATCATGTTTTTGATATGGGTTTGATACGTATTTGGTACAAATCCATACATATCCCATATCACTTACTATGGGAAATACATGGGTTCCTTATATCATTTCATAACAACTTTGCTATGGGTAAGATAGGAT